TAATACGGATCTCATTCCAAAGGTTCTGTAATGTGATTTTATTAGTATGAGAGTATTTCAGTTGTAATAATGTAAGACTGTCAAATATTTAATTATTCTAAAGAAGTAATAAATGATTCTAAATAAAATATTCATTTAAAACTAGTTTTATTACAAAATATAACCGGATATTATATAGAATAACAACTCTATCCCATACTCTACCACTCTGTCACGATATGTCTCCTGGTTTTAAAATTTATATAGCCATTTTAATATTTTCTTATGAATAGTACAATTTCGGAAAAATTATATTAAAAATAGTTAACTATAATATAGTCTACGACATTAATATTTCTGTGCTAGAAGTGGTTAAAATTGAATTATAGCAAAAATATACTTCTAAAAAACTGCAATTGTGACAGAATGGTATAAGATTAAAAATATATATTTATTGTTATATACAGAAGTCTTGCCTTGTAAGTTTTCTAAAAGGACCATTTGATTATTATTGTAAAAAGTAATTTGCAAGCTATCTGAGTTAAACTATTTGATACAAAAAAATAAAAGATATTGTGACGGAGGTGTACAATTATTCGCCCAATCCTGCTTTAAGGCCTCGAAAATCGTACAAAAATTAGTAAACTTCGCGGCCAACAACTTTTTCAGATAGAATAGACATTCAGCTATCACAAAACATACAAGATTTGACTAGAAAGCGCTATATTTTTTTTTGGAAATTTGAGTAAAAATTTTAAGATCATGTAGGTTAAAAAAAAGAATGACCCAGGTATATGTATATCATATTAAATGATTTTGTACTTATCTTTATTTATATCCATTTTGCCTCGTCGCCACATATAGTGTTCACTTATTTGTTATTTATGTCTTCTTGTATGTAAGTTGTTATCGACGTAATATCGGCTCGTTATCCATAGCTCCACGTCTTTACTCCGCTGCGCTTGCGCAGGGAATCCCTTCCCTCTTGCGCACGGCGGTCCGTGTACGCTCGGCTCGAGACGATAGATAATAAACTGCTAGTGTTTCCACATACATACAGTAAGAACTTCGTTTTCAGTGGGCTAATTATGTAACTTCGTTCGCAACGATTTTCGTATGTAACGTAGTGAAAATGACGTCATCTGTCAATAATGCGATCATATTGACGCCATTTGACGCTGTCAACTAGCATTGCAACGTAAACGCAACTTTACATATCGATAAAAATTATTTCTATCGAATGTCGATTTAGTAACCTCGTTGCAACGTCACGTAATCGCTATTTTGCCGAAATGACAGCGTGGAATTGAAACTGTTTTTACATTATGAGAAACAATTTAGAAGGTGTTTCTTTTGGTTACATCTTTAAAATATCAGCATTAGCAACATTATTTATCTTGTTTTGGTAATTTTCAGTACTACATATATTTTTATTATATTAAATATTACGTAGAAAGTCGTGAAAAGGTTTTAAATTTATTAAAATGGGAAAATTGTCACGACTCACAACATGACATCAGTGTTGCCAATTCGATATTTTATTTTCGTCCCAAATCACATAGAGAGTAAATGTTTAATATAAAATTAGGGTTGATTATGATATTAATATAATTAAAAAACTATTTCAATGAATACGGTGCTCTGTGAACACAACGTTTATGATGCTCTGTGATTTGTTTAAAAAGTAAATAAATTTATTTGTTTAAAGTTTTTACAATTATGTACAAATTTAAAAAGATGTGCCCATATCATTCTAAATTAATATGGATACCTACGTACTTACCTAGGTATCTATAGCAGAAAAGAAAATTTAATTTGTAGGTTAGATTAATATTATTAATGATTATAAATAGTTTGTATAAAATATGCTTTTATATTCAAAATTATTAACCTTATTTTTTCATTAGAATAGAATAGACTTTCTTTATTTTATTTTATTAAATGTCTATTAATAAAATTAAAATAAAAGAACAAGTGAACGCTGCAGTATATTTTGTAATAAAAATTGTTTCAAATCAACCAACTAGTGTATTAACCCAATAATTTAAAATGTATCCCTCTAAAGGTATAAGCTATCTAATATACTGACTTTTTAAATTGGTCGGATTAACAATATTCCGCTGCAACTTCATAGTAGTGTTTTATCGATAGAAATGATTTATGTTGCGGTCATTCGACCTTACTTGATCGCATTTTTTAAATTGAAATGATTTTATATTGCATCACAACTTCAACAGAAACAATTTCATATCGTGTTATATAATTAGCCCACAGTTCGTTTATACCAAGTCAGTCAGTCCCCGGCCCCTGCCAACGTTGGACCTGTACTTAGCACGGGTAGCCCGCCTGAGAACGCGCGCTATCCATTCGCAAATTATTTCGTCGCACTATACTGTGTGCGCTGTAGTATGATGAGAGTGACAGTTACTAATTTTACATTTAACAATTATTACATTTAAGTTAATACAATTATTAATGATTTAATATATTAAGATAAGTCAACAAAAATATAGCAATTTTACATTATTTTTATTTCGTAGTTATTTATATATAAAAATGGGGTACTCCCATTATCTATACATCTATACATATAAATAAAATTGGAGTGTTTGTTTGTAATAACCGTTTTTTACAACATGCATATGAATATAAATAATTAACACCAAAATAACATTTTTTACAAATTTTGTCTGTGTGTCTGTCTGTTTGTTCCGGCTAATCTCTGAAATGGCTGGACCGATTTTGACGGTACTTTTATTTGGCAGGTAGCTGATGTAATAAGGAGTAACTTAGTCTAATTTTATTTTAAAAAAATAAAGTTAAATTCCCCACGGCCAAATTCGCGGGTGCAGCTAGTTACTTATAAAACTCCCATTATTATTTTTTACGTAGGTACAACAGTCTTGTCTTATATACCTAGTACGCAATGTGGATTGTAAATAAACTACCAAATTATATTATTTTATCCCCTAATGTTTAAAGATATTTTATCCAATTTATTTTATTTTATTTTACACAATACAGATATTTCTAAATTGCAGCCATTGTGTTATTCTGGTATACTCATATGACTTACTTTACTGTACAGTTACGTCAAATATGTATGCGTGAAAAATCAACAACATTATAAACGGCTTTATCTTTTACATTATTTTTATTGTAAAACTAATTTTATGTTTTATTGTTTAACTCAAGAAGAAGTTTTGTTTTGTTTAGATGTTTTTTTTATTTCGTTACTTGCTGAAGTGACAGATACAGGTAGAGGTAAATAAAACTTATTTGTGCAATTACTTTTCATTGGACGTTAAGAAGAATTTAAAAATGTTTATAACTGTTTATCTAGAACAGGGGTGAGCAACCTTTTTCATCAACGGGAAAATTTAAATTTTAAATATTTTGGCGGGTCGCACTTAAAGTAACGCTTATTAGTAATTTACAAAACTTTCATTCTTTCTTCATAATAAACATTAACATACAATTTTCTTCTCGTACCTAAAAATATTGAGACACAAAATCCTCAACAATGTAGGGTATCCGGCATTTTACCAATATGTTCCGCCAAACTGGCTGGTCGCTCCTCGCCAATCCTAATAGCCGGACAATTAGGATTGGCGAGGTGACAACCCTACACCCAAAGAAAGAATCGACTGACTCATTAGAACAAATTAAAATCGTGGAGTCGTCTATGAATTTATACGAAAATTAAATATTATTGTAACTTAATTCTTTTACTATTTCAAGTAATCTAATCATTTAGTTACCCTTGTTACATTTTTTTTACACTATTTTATTTACTTATACGAATAAATGTTATACGTATTAATACTAATAATACATAATATTGAATCCAAAATAAAGTATTTTTTTCTCAATGTTACTACATATTTAGTGTAATCAAAAAATCTATTGATTGTTAATAATTTCACAAAAATATTATTTAATTAATCATTGTTGTCTGTCCGCCTGTATATTGGAGTTACGGCCTGTATATTACTTTTGTTGACTTTGGTAAAAGTGGCGTCACTATCTGTCTCGGTCACTCATGGCAAACATGTTCACTATCCATCTCTCTTATTATTTTGCCGTAAAATTAAGAACCTACCAAGAAAATAAATAAATAAAAAAGGAAAATAATGAAAAGTATTATATAAATTTATATAAACGTATGTATTAATACATACGTGAAGTAAAAACTTTGTATCCTTTTTACGAAAAACAGCGTGGACGGATGAGTATAAAATTTTGCGTACAATTTTGGTTATTGTACAAAATATATAGTGCGACAGCCTCGGTGGTCTAGTGGTTTAGCATACCGCTTTACTATCCGATGGTCGCGGGTTCGATTCCTCGCACGGTACAAACATTTGTATTCATGAGTATGATTGTTTGTATCGATCTGGGTATTTTCTATGTATAATATGTATTTATTTACAAAAAAAAATCGTCCATGTATTTACATCAGTTGTCTAGTACCCATAATACAAGCTCTGCTTAACTAGATGGCGCTGTGTGATTTGTCCTGAGATATCATTATCATTATCATTATATAATATTATTAGAAAATATATAGTATAATAATTAAATTTAATTAATTTAATTTTATTTATTTATTTCTAAAATCTATATTTTAGACAGTAAGTCTGTGTTTCTGTGAATTATATATCAATTAAATATAATTCCGGAAACACAGACTTTCATATTGAGCGTAAAGCATAGGTAGAATAAACAAATGAAAAATAATTTATTTTATTTGACAAAAACATTCCAATTAATGTTATATCTCTCATTAAACTTACTGTCAATTCTTCCATTTACATAGCGATTCTCATATCTGTATTGCTGATTGTTGTAATTTTGCTCTTTTATTTTAAATGCATCATTTTGGCAGTTGTGCGTATTTTATAAAAAATATATATAGAATAATTACAAACAATGATGGTACTGCTTTCCTAAATATAATATGATAAACGAATAGACATGAGGGAGACAACAGAATTGAATAGCGCCTACATGAGATTCTAATGTTTCCAGAGGGGTTGAAAACAACTAGAGAACCACAACATCACAAGACCACAACATCAACCTCATCTCAATCGCAGTCATCTGATATTGGAAAATCATCAAATGACCCTAATAAAGGTAAAGCTAATTATGAGTTCTTAATTTTTAGCATACCATCTGATATTCGACCTATACGCAAAAGGTATAAGCGTTCCCTTATAATGTCTATAATACAATGAATCCGTATTACATTTGAATTAGACGCATAAATAGACAGGAGCGAAGGATGACTTTGTGTATATAACGAATGGTAAGAGGTTCGTTTTCGTTCGTAGTTTCTTGCTGGTCCGGAATAGAATAGAACAAAAAAATGTATTCTATTCTTTGGATGTCATGAAGGCTTTAATTTGCTTTAATTCCGACGTTGATAATAGAAGTAGAATTTTAGCTCTTGCCTTTAAGTCCTCTCTATTAAATTCCGTCGTTGGATCATAATTTTCTTTGTTTAAAGGTTCTATATTGCGGGAACTCGACGCAGATGCCATTTTACTATTAACTACGCTCTGCTACTAATTTGTGAGGGTTTTTAGGTAGAAAACGGGATCGAAGTTGGTTAAAATTTTATTTGATATAGGTATATGTACAAAAGCAATCTGATAGGAATAATAGAAGACAGGAAACAAAGCAATATCGTTGACACATAACTTTCCCCCGAGTGTACCGTGCCACTACTAACAAAAGTTAAACAACTTTACATAAATCAGTCGGGCGTCAGCGCTTGCGCAGACTGTACGCATAAATAATATATTCCTTAGTATTTGTTTATTGTTATATTGTTTATAAAAGTTAGTTACTTTTGTGTGATTTAAATACTTAATAACAATGAGTAAAAATCTTAGAAAAATTGGAACAAAATCAACGAAAAATTTATCAATATGCTCACCAAAAATTAACATCGACCCTCAAAAATCAACTGAAGAGGTTCTTCTGGAAATTAATGAAAAACTAGAAATTCTATACAATATGCAAAAAACTATCAATGATCTGTCGGAATCTGTGGATTTTTATGCAGAAAAATATCAAGAATTAGTAGAAAACAAAGATAAAATGGAGAAAAAAATTATCTCGCTGGAACAAAAAAATGTCCACCTAGAACGATGCAATCAGGCACTGGAGGAACGGGTTATATTAATTGAACAAAAAAGCAAGGAGAAGGATATTGAAATTGTGGGTGTGGAGGAATTGGAGAACGAAAATGTAAAATCAGTAGTGAATAAATTGGCTAATAAGTTAAATCTACCCACAGAAAACATTGTGGAGGCAAGACGAATGGGCGTTAAAAAACCTAACCAGCAAAAACCGCGAGCAATTATTGTAACAATGACATCCAGAATACAGAGAGATAAGTGGTTGGAAGTAAGAAAGCATAATAATTTACAGAACAGTGATGTATATAACAACCAAAATGAAAAGCGAATTTACATAAATGAACACCTCACAAAATCCAAACGTGAATTATTGTGGAAGGCAAGAAGTGAATTAAGACAAATTTATAAATACATATGGATAATTAATGGGAATATACTCGTCCGCAAATTAGAAGGTCATAAAATATATACTGTACGATCGGATAGTGATATAAATCAGTTAAAAAAGTGTCATGATCAACCAAACATGCCTTGAGATTTTTCAATACATTAAGTGTAAACAAATGTGTTGACATCCTTATATTATACAATTCACACCATCATTTGATTTACCTACAGAAATTGAATGTGTGAAATACTCGGATGTTGCCAAATGGAATACTTATATAAACGGACATAATAAATGTCTTAATGTAATACATTTAAATATACGATCATTAAGAAAAAATTTCAAGCAATTTTTAATATATATCGAAAGATGCCGGCCATGTCTCGATATAATCACACTTTCAGAAATCAACATAACACAGGATGAATTGCCATTGTATACATTGCCTGAATATGATATGTATTGGAACACAAGAGAAACAAGACGAGGAGGAGGAATATTGGTGTATGTGAAAAAGAAATATAATTTCACAACTAATGTCATTAAAGGAAAATATGGAGAATACGTTCAAGGCAAATTAATATTAGAGAACTATTTAAACATATATTTATTAGTTATGTATAGACCACCACATACTAATAGAATGGGATTTACTGGCGAGTTAAATAATTTGATAAAATGTATACCTCGTAGGAGCGACATAATATTAATTGGAGATGCAAACATAAATATTGAAATAAATGATCTTGGTATGTTGGCGAAACGGTATCAAAATATTATGTATGGGCATGGATTGCAATGCACAATAAATGGAATTACTCGTGAGGAGCATCGCTTCGATGGCAGTGTGTCTGCGTCGTGTATCGATCATGTGTGGGTGCGTACGCGGCAAACTGTTCCTGCTTCTCACATACTCACAGCGAACATTTCCGATCACTACTTGGTGGGATTGTCTATTGATATAAGTGATTACATGGCATGCTCTAAGCAGGTCGACGAGAAAGTGATTAAAATAAATAATAAAAAGGTTTGTGATAAATTGGATGCAGTGGAGTGGCGGGAGTTCTTATTGTGTGAGTGTCCCTTGTTATTATATCATAGATTAAGTACATTGTTTAGTGAGATATATGCCAGTTGTGAATACCAATCTAATACTCAGAAATCTAGATACAGGCAACCATGGATAAACAGTAAAATATTACATATGATAGATAGGAGAGATCAATTATTTAGAAAGTCAAAGAATAATCCAAAAAATATTACTAGTAAATTAGAATACACAAAATATAGAAATAAAGTAAACAAATGTATAAATAAGTTTTAATATGTACAGACAGAATGAATTAAAAAAATGTGAAAATGATGTAAGAAAAATTTGGGAAAATATTAATAATTGGCTGGGTAGAAAAAAGGGGAACATAGACAATGTTATTAAGAAATATTTGGGTAAGAAAGAAACAATTCAAAACATAAGTTCAAATTTTTCAAAAACGTTTACTAATGAAATACATAACATAAAACATAACTGTAATGATAAATTTATAGATAGAAATATATATGTAGAGGAGTCTAATATGTCTATGAGGTATAGGAAAGTAACTGCATATGATATAGAAAAATAATAGATAAAGTAAGCCCTAACAAAGCCCCGGGTGCAGATAAAATTAGAGTGACAGATATAAAATATATTAAAAAACAAATTAGTCCAGTCATAGCTCATTTTATTAACATGAGTGTGGCGCAAAGTTGTTATCCCGATTTATTAAAAACATCAGTAATAAGGCCCCTATATAAACATGGTAGTCACTACGAGTACACAAACTATAGGCCAATTGCTATCCTTTCTATAATTAATAAAATAACAGAAAAAGTAATTGTGACGCAAATTACAAATTTTTTAGACAGCCCTTAATGAGTTCACCGACCATGTAAACAATTGTCTTGATCAAAAACAGAGTGTAGTAGCCGTTTTTATTGATTTTAAAAAAGCCTTTGATACATTAAATCATGAACAGTTGTTACTGGCTATGGCAGAATGTGGAATAAGAGGTCCCATTAATCAGTGGCTAAAATGTTATATGAACCAAAGAAAACTAAAAACGCATATATGCGGTATCACTGGAGATGAGTCTGATATACTGTATGGTGTCCCTACTGGATCAGTCTATGGACCAATAGGGTATATAATGCATGTCAATAGTTTGTGTAATGTAGTTAAGAAATGTAAAATGATCATGTATGCGGATGATACATGTTTGCTGTATGCTGGAAGAGACCCTGCTGACATACAGAAAAATATCCAAACTGACTTAACAAATGTTATAAAATGGGCACATGATAATGGTATAATTATAAACCTAAATAAAACTAAATGTATGCATTTGCGTTCCCCGTACCTTAAATTAGAAGATTGTACATTTAACATTATAGGACATAGTTACAATTGTTTACATGTTGAAGGTAACGACTGTAGCTGCCCTCAGATAGAATTTTTTTCTCACTATAAGTACCTTGGTCTTATAATTGACGAGAGCATGTCATGGCGATTACATGTAAATAATGTTTGTGCTAAATTAAGATCAATGTTGGCAAAATTCCATCAACTAAGTTTTGCAGTTAACCGAAAAACGTTATAATATATCATGCGCTAATAGATTCCGTATTATCTTATGGTTTGGGTAGTTACGGTTGTACCTTTGACACAAATCTTAATCAAATTAAGGACTTACAAATAAGATTTATGAAGCTACTAGTCGATAAAAATAAGAGACATAAATGTAAGCAAAATAGGTACATCGAGTTGTTTAGAATATGCAGATTATTAGATATAAAAAATAAAAATAAATTATTAATATTAATAGAGCATTTTAAAAATAATAAATTTAAAAATCATGTTGTTCATAAAATTACTACACGTAAAGTTAACAATAAAGAATACATTGTACCTAAGGTCTGTAATTATTACGGATCAAGAACTAGAAAATATCTAGTTACAAAATATTATAATATGTTACCAAAAAATATAAGATCATTAGATAATGTATCCAAAAAATTATTCAAAAAGAAATTATTTAACTTTTTTGTAAACAAACATTGTATGGAATAAGATACCTGGTTCTACAGGATTGTGTTTATGTGAATGTATGTGTGTGTATATATAGATTAGAAATAAGTATTAAGTTAAGCGCTTTTGCTGCAGACAAACTGCTGAGCAGTTTTGCGGCTTATTGTTTTAATATAATTAGTTCCGTTATTTGAATAATAAAGAGAAAAAAAAAAAATATTTAAGCTCCTGTTTCAGATAATTCAGTCAACAAACACTGACACAAAACTACTGTCAATTCTTCTATTTACATAGGGATTCCCATATCTATGTTGCTTATTGTTGTAATTTTGCTCTTTTATTTTAAATGCATCATTTTGGCAGTTGTGCTTATTTATAAATAATATATATAGAATAATTACAAACAGTGATGGTACTGCTTTCTTAAATATAATATGATAAACGAATAGACATGAAGGACACAACAGAATTGAATAGCGCCTACATGAGATTCTAATGTTTCCAGAGGAATTGAAAACAACTAGAAGACCACAACTTCACGACAAGACCACAACGTCAACCTCATCTTATTCGCAGTCATCTGATATTGGGAAATCATCAAATGACCCTAATAAAGGTAAAGGTAATTGTGAGTTCTTAATTTTTAGTATATCGATGATACTCGACCTATACGCAAAAGGTATAAGCGTTCCCTTATAATGTCTATAATACAATGAATTCGTATTACACTTGAATTATATGCATAAATAGACAGGAGCGAAGGGCGACTTTGTGTATATAACGAATGGTAAGAGCTTCGTATTCATATTCGATTTCCAACGCGAAGAGTACAAAACTTGTTTAAAGTCGTATAAATTGCTTATTTATAACAAACAATTGGCAACCCTATAATCCGGTACAGAAATACAATGTATACTAATGTAACAGACGTGTCATTACATACTACCTACACTTACGAAGTCAGATATGAATACGCGGAAAACAGTTGCGAATAGAATAGATGTAGAATATAAAATTTAAATAATTATTACTCAGTAAACCGTTATTATAACTACCGTTATTATAACTAATAGCTTTTGGGCACACAGTAAAACATGTATTCCATTGTTTTTTTTTAAGATTAATGTAGACATATTATTGACATAAAATTAAATACATAAATAAAAATATGAAACATATAATAGTTTTTAATGGCAATCAGATTTATAAAAGAATCCTTAAAAATATATATGTTAGAGACAGTAGACAGTAGACAGTAGTTCATAAAATTGCTGTAAATAACATTGATATCAAATTTTCATCTGACAGCACTACACTATGCTGAACATACTCATGACTTGCATAATATTATACATTAAACTGGTAATCTAGTTTTATGATACCAGGAAAAATATATGCTTTGTTTTATTTTTATTTTTATAACACAGTCGACAAACGAGCATGCGGCTCACCTGATGGTAAATGATAACCGCCTTCCCATAATTTTGAATAATCTATTCATTATTCAGTGGAAAAAAAGTGTCTATTGGTAACGACGCCGGAGACAAGTTATCGACGAACCACTTGAGTGTGAACAATCCTAAGTGGAAACTTCCATGATAAATCAACGGCCACTAAAACGACTGTTAAAACTGAATAGGGAGAATATTAAAGTAATAATAGAGAGAGTAGTAGACAACCTGCTAAGTCAAGGATGAAGAAACGGTCATTCTCGTAATCTTGGAGTGTGTAACAATGTCATCGGGTACGTCGTACGTACTCATTTTTTTGGACAGAAGGTAGGTCCTCGGCTCCTGCCATGGTATTAGAAAGGATTTACACTTTTGGCAGGAGCTTGACTGACTACGTTAGTAATGTCGAATCTACACACCTAACGGTTTAATTAGTAGATTTTTAATGCATCATTTTGGCAGTCGTGCGTATTTTATAAATAATACACATAGATTAATTACAAACCGTGATGGCACTGCTTTCTTAAATACAATATTATAAACGAATAGACATTAATGAGACAACAGAAATGAATAGCGCCTACATGAGATTCTAATGTTGACAGAGGAATTTAAAACAACTAGAAGACCACAACTTCAGGACAAGACCACAACGTCAACCTCATCTCATTCGCAGTCATCTGATATTGGGAAATCATCAATTAACCCTAATAAAGGTAAAGCTAACTGTGAGTTCTTAATTTTTAGTGATTATCGACCTATATGCAAAAGCTATAAGCGTTCCTTTATAATGTCTATAATACAATGAATTCGTATTACATTTTAATTGGGCGCATAAATAGACAGGAGCGAAAGGCGACTTTGTGTATATAACGAATAGTAAGGGCTTCGTTTTCAGATTCGATTTCCAACGTGAAAAGTATAAAACATACTTAACATTGTTTAAATTGCATAAAAATACATTACGTAGTTTACAAGCCACGTATTTAAAAGAATTAATCGGAGAAACAGAATAGAAGAGCGACTTTATTCTTGTATCTACTTAAAAATAACTTTGAGCAATCAATATGTCTTAGCAATACAACTTAGAAAGCGCTCACTTGATATTTTAATATTCACAGGCACAAATAAGTTGTGGATGTTTACTTAATCTATAATTTAATTAAAATTATTTTATTAAATTGGTTATATTTTATACAAAGAAATATCCAGCTGTTTACAATAGGCACCTTGCGTGTCGTATATGCTTAATTAATATATGTACAAATGAACTGTAGAAAGTTAACTAACTAACACAAGTATTTATGCTTCTGTTTCAGATAATTCTGTCACCAAATCTACTGTTAATTCTTCTGTTTACATAGCGATTCTCATATCTCTGTTGCTGATTGTTGTAATTTTGCTGTTTTATTTGAGAAGAAAGTATAAAAAGCCAAATATGCCAGCACTATCACAACAGATTAATGTAAGTAAAAGATTACTAACAAAATATATTGAAGTTTGGAAGAGATAGACCCTGATTCACATTTTCAACTTTTATAACCTTCCAAAGTGAAACTACAAAATGACTACCCAATTGATAGTACCTAATGTTTATTATACCCATATACAAATTATTATCTTACGCTGCATATTAAGTTCATAATTTTTGTTCCTGTACCTCATTATTCATACAAGCTTACATTGTAACATAATAATCATCAAAAGAACAAACAAATCTTTATGAATAATGTCATTTTGCTTCTTAGCTAAAAATTAATAAAAATAACTTCTATTTATATTGAAAGGTTAATCTAAATAAAACTGGCCTGGCTGTTTTATTGAACCACATAATAAAAAACACAATGAATGTCGATTACCACGGTTTGAGTTATGTACCTTTGTCTTATCCATTTCTATCACCTACTTGGTTTGTTAGCAGTTTCGGATTGAAGGGCAGTGAATTTACAGTGCACGGAGGTACTTTAGTCCTCGGGAATGAGGACGATTGGAATGTACCACAGTCGTCACGTGATGACGTAGAAATAAAGCAACTATGAATATTTTTATTATGGCAATGTAATGGCAAACAAGGTAGCGGCAGGTATATCCAACGTCAGAATACACAAGTGGCAAGACTAGCAAATGCTACGGGCACCACGCTCTCATTTCTGTGTTAAAAAATGAATGTAGTTATTAATACTATCACATTATCTTCTTTTGTAAGATCAGGGAGTAGGTATACATAACAATTATACTTGTTCATTTTGACAGAGTACTGCTAATAATCACAACCACATACAGACGAATAGAAATAATGATGAATCTCATGGTAACCAACTTCTATATGCTGAATTAGATTTGAAGAGACCACAAAATATAACTGTTAATAAAAAGGAAGACGAAGTGCTGTATGCTGAAGTGAATCTCATACAACAAACAAAGGGCATCCAGAAATTAAAATAAATATGCAACAAGGAACACGCACGCAGGGAAGAAATAAAATTTTAGAAATAAAACAGCAATCCAAACTTAACAGCACTTATATCGAACCCTTGTTATAAGTGAACAACTGACAAACTTCAATATTTTTTTATTTATTTATATATACAGGTATACATAGTTTTCCGCATTGTACGCTAGGTGAAGCCCGCAACTTTGTCCGCGTGATATTTGTTATTGTTTCGATATTATATGGTACGTATCGATATATGTACCTACCTATTCATTAAGTCTGGCAAAACTGGACCAATATTAACAAATAACCTGTCGTTCTCGGTCTTTGCCTTAAATCAAAATAATGTTACTTAAGTAGGTAGTGTACTTAGCTGCATAAGTTACTATAGATTTGGTCAGGACCTCTTTTTTCGTGATTAAAACTATCTATAATGTTGACCGGGGATGTAAGGTACTGCCATACAAAATTTCATTTAAATCGATCCAACAGTTTCGTAGATTAGCCCGTACAAACAGAGAAACAAAAAAAGTAATCTGGATGTGTTCTGTTTTACTTCTAACATCCCCCTGTGTAGGTTTGTAGCGTTTTTTTCCTAAGTACTTACATACATTCCCCTTATACAGTTTCGTTATATGTATAGATTATATTGTATTGTATCTTAATTATGGCGTAAATATTTAAATAAATAGGTATTAATATATACTCAAGTATATTATAATAAGTTTCTAGAAATAATAAAGAAAAATATTAGTCACTAGGTTTTATCCGCGGCTTCGCTCGCGTTAATTTATCCCCTTAGGGGTGGAATTTATCAAAATCCTTTCTTAGGGGACGCCTACGTCATAGTAGCTTTATGCATGCAAAGTCTCAGGCCGATCGGTTTAAAATTGATAAAGTTTCATACAAACTTTCATCCCCTATTTTATCCCCTTAGGGGTAGAATTAATCAAAATCGTTTCTTAACGGATGCCTATGTCATAACACCTGCATGCCCAATTTTAGCCCGATCCGTCCAGTGGTTTAGGCTGCGCATTGATAGATCACTATGTCAGTCAGTCACCTTTGAGTTATATATATTTAGATTATTGTTTGGATTACACAAAAAATACACTAAACAGCTTGCTTTCTAAGCTGTGTTTCCGTTGTAGGATGAAATTATGCAGTGAAATATCAGAATAAAAGGCATAACATCTTAATTCTTTGTAATGGCAACGCAAGAGTTGTATCACGGGTGGAACATGATAACGTGATGGCCATTCTGTCATCTGTCAGTCAAACTATAAGTAAATCAACTCATCATTATAACAAATACGGCTTACATTAGATATATCTTAAAATATGTTCTTGGTTATGGAAATTCTTCCATTCTTTAATTTAAAATATGGATATATAAAGTTTTAACCTTGTATATATTGTTGATAGTTAACAATATATACAAGGTGTGACGCACCATTAATTAAAAATGGTAAAGTCAATAATCATGTAACCTGAAACGGAACGTCAGAGGCCAGAGCCAAAGTAATCTATGTGACATTGACAGGTGGATGACAGATAATTGAACGTAGGCAGCGGGAGTTTTGGAGCGAAAGTGTATATATTATTATAAAAACAAATAAGAGATAGGTAATGGTGAATATTGTAGGCATTGAGGTGTTTCTCTCCCTGACTAACCGGCATTACGCCTAAGTCGTCAGGATACTAGTGATTTTAAAAATATCTTTACTATAAATGAAAAAGTAGTTCTTGTTTTAACTTTAATAGCATAAAATATTTAACAATCTAACCCAAAACAGCCAAAATAAAAAGTTTTAGCTTCAAAAATGACGAATATCCATACAAATTTTATCCCCTATTTTATTTTAACTCCTTACTTTCACAAATTTAAATCAACAGCCTAAAAATAAGTTACAAGCTGCTAGCTTTAAAAATGAATACTTCCATACAACTTTTCATTTCCCCTTTCAATCCCTTAGAACCTTTTCTACCCTATTTTTTAACCTATGTCATTCCTTAGGTCTACACTATCTGTGTACCAAATTACATTTAAAAAGATTCAGAAATTTTGGCGAGAAAACACAAAGAGACAGGCATAGTTACTTTCGCATTTATAATAAAAGTTCCTTAATTAAGAATTTAAAAATCAGAATGTTCTATGGTTGTCAGAATTCGTGCAACCATTTTGACTCATAAAGTTCATATAGGTGAGATGACTATAGGATGCGTGATCCTCTGGTATACTTACTTTACTCTTTGGATGCGTGATTCGTACTTGCTGCAAATGTTCTTCAAAACAGAGAATGAATTGAATGTGAGTGTTGAGCACAGATAATGTAATATATATATAGTGTTCTGTATCTTTACAGTAGATGGAAAATATTGTTAACTATAAATCATAATACACTTTAGTGATAGATTTTAGAGTAAATTGTATTATCATTCATACTTGACAATATTTTACATCTACTGTAAACATTAAGGAATTAAGTTTAGGAGCGGATTTAAAAATAAAATTTATTCATACTTCACTTACTCGTAGGTTTGTCACTGTAGACTTTTTTAATCGACATAACACAATAGGTTAAGGCTTCTGTAACTTAATCAGATATATTGTTGTACTTGTTTCAGATATATTTTTATAACTAGTAAATATAACTGTAATGTATTTCTGCTTATAATTAACATTTAACTTATAATAAACAATTGTAAAAAAAATGTTTGTTTTTCGTACCTAATTATATATAAAACGTATTATACATACCAGACAAAAAATCTTTTTGTAAATGAGTTCAAATGAGTTGTAAATTATAAAACCACTCCTGAAGCGGCCACTACATTAGGCACGTAAGGCACCTAACTTAGGGCATTCCACTACTGTACTTTTTTTATGGATTATAATGGAAAACGGTTTACGCTGATGGAGCACCAGTGGAGGATTATAAGATGAGCATGAGGTCAAGTCAGTTAGCCCACCGTAACAAATTTACAAAGAATTTATCACGATGGTTTCCAGGGGGAACCGCGTGGAGGTCAACCTGACATGGTACATTGCTAGCAATGGGGTCAGTCCACATTACTAACAATCCCCTTCCCCCCTCCACTACTGTACTGTGTAGTCTAGCTGCGCGCCACAAATACGCTTAGAATAACCACTTACCTGAATCCAGTGCACTTCTAAAGTAGAGTAACGGGTGAAGTCGAAGAGCAAGTCCAGATGGCAGGAAAACGGTGAGAGTCTTTTGTGGAATATAATCTTAAATAGTTTCTATACAGTAACCACAGGCGGTACCGCTGTCTAGGTGTAATTTCTAGGACTTTTCTTCCAGAATAAATAATTATTTGGCCTACACGCATTATAAAATCCCTTCGATCAATCCCCTGTCCAATTCAAACAACCCCCGATTGAATTGGACGGCAGGAAATTACGACGACCTAATACGAGATTCCTACTCCTAGCGATTCTTTCAGACTAAAATTATATCAGTCAGGCATAGGGTAACTAAACCTTTAACCGCTTCATAAATCCCTCCGCGGATTTGGAATGTGATCTACACTCGACCACTTTACAGCTTCACTGAAGGATAGAGCCTTCGATGAAGCTGTAAAGGCTAGTTGAGGCCAATAGTATTAGAAAAGTCTTATAGAACAGATAGTACAGCGCGTGTAGTCACAAATAATTATTTATTGTAGTGAAGCAGACAACAATATGTCTATTCTTATAATATTGTATTAATTGATAATAAGACAACGTATTTTTTTGTTCAGTTAAAAGAAAGTTCGCTTTATTAGCGGCCAGTTAATATATTTCATATTCCTAGTAATGTATCTTGACCAGAAAATTTATGCAATAGGCGACAGATAGTTTTTTTTTAATATGTGATGATGGAATTGTGCTTCTATTTGCGTTAACGGTATACACTGGCGGGCCCCAATGGAGGATGATGATTCCCTTCCCCCTTGAACTGACAAATTATTGGTACTGATAGATGAAACCTGTCAGTCTAGTTGACTGACAGGTAAACTATTAGAACCTGAATAATAAATATATATCTAATCGGTCTAACCAACAACGTATAAAAATATGATTTTGTTTTAGAAACAACTGACAAGTTATTCAAAAAATAACAATAAATATAATACGAAAGTATAACGTAACAGAGCGAACAATTTTATTTATATCACAGACAAGTTCAATGCAAAAAGAACCAAATTTTATTACAATTAAAATTGGTTTTAGAACCTTAACCTTTTTTTCTGTTTCAATAAAACTTAACTTAGTATATAGTATTCAAATAGGCGACTATTTGAATACTTATATTATAAAATATTTATATTATACCGATTAATGGTATATATATTTCTTATTCAAAGTAAAAACCCGTTAAATAATAATATTACAATACGTGGCATAAAAAATTGTTAAAATAAATATTTCTATTAATATTTTTTTAACAATTTTATATTTTATTACTTATATAAATGTTTATTTTTACAATATAATTTAACAATTAGGTAGGTATCTACTCTGGATGGTGTAGCGGCGTGTTAATAGCCAATACATGCGGAATCTTTCGGAGCGGAAGAGGACGGCTTTCCAGCAACTTGTATAGTCCCTGACAGCGTGGCAACAAATAACAGTAGCGCCTGATCGTGATCCAATCCGGAGCATTGTTAAAGAAAGGTCTAAACAAAAGTAGTCTCGCGGATGGCAGGAAGCCACTACTTTTGTTACGGAGACTGTCTCTTGCGGAATATGACGAACGCCACTCATGAAATACTGTTAGGTAACAGTTAACACAGTCGGTATCTTCGTAAAGCAGTAATTTTCCAACTGAACTGTTCTATGACCTTTTCGAACTGTTCTATGACCACTCGTCATAGATATTTCTGGTAAATTACTTAGGTTTAAACATTTATTTTATTTAGAAAAAGCGATGTACAACACAATACACGTATCACAATATTTAATCCTTATAACTTTTTTATATATATTGTTACAAACAAAAGACGGCGGGCTTTATCTATTTTTTCTCCTATTTTATTTAAAAGCATTTTCACATTATTAACGGCCTGCTACATATTTCCAGAAATGTGAATTTTCTGAATCTGAAATTTCCAGGAATATAGGCGATTGATAGATAATAGGTATGAAGTCTATCAGTCAAATAAAGTATTAGTTTGTGGCAGATAAAATCTAAACCTAAACGGCACAGCCTCGCGATATATCACTACGCTTTTATTTTATGCAATGATTTCCATTATGATAATTTGTTTTTAGCGGAAATGGCAAGTCTTTCTTCTAATTTCTAAATGTTATGGTAAATTTTATTTTGAGCACTTTTCGATATTTGTACTTTTATCTACCGTCACCAAGGTATCTATGGTATTCATTAATTGGAAACCTATGTAAATTGTCAAGTGTCATGTCAACTCAAGTTGTCATTGTCAATGTCAAAACTACGAATCACGAATTGAAATCGAAACGTAAACGTAGTGCTTTTTTTTGCCAGGTTTACAATTGAAACAAACGTCCGAAATAAGTTAGAAAATATTGAAATAAAATAAATATTACCACTCGTCATTTCTTCATCATATTAAATAAACATGTGTTAGATATATTTTAATCTTAAAAAATATTGTGAAGTCACTTGTTAATTTAGTTTTTTGTGTTACTTTGGTGAAAGCTAAATAAAATAAAATGGATGGAACATTGATACTTATTTTGTTGGCTATTGTTATGTTAATTGGTTCTTACGTTGCTGGAAGTATACCGTTAAATGTGAGCATGTCGGAGGTATGGTATTTATTAAATTTAATCATTGTTTTTATTGGCAATTATTTTTCCAATACCTCTTCCCATCTGTTTACTGTGATATGCTATCATTTCTCACAATTTTTCATAAGTATCACAGGAAATATTATTATTTTTGGAAATACATTCGTAATATACAAATAAATATAAAATATGCAGATAAATACTCTTTCTAATGAATAAAAATGTTTGCACTATGTGGTGAATTGAATCCATGGCCATCTAAGTAAAGAGGTGGGCTAAACCACTAGACCACAGGCCGTCAAATATACTGTCTAAATACAATCATAATATCTTTTCTTCAAGTATTGCTACTTTTTTTTCTTCTTATACAACAGTCTAGCCTTTTTATTTTATTAGAATCGATTTTGTTCTTAGGAAAGTAAAATTTAGAATTACTGTCCTAATTTGTGGAATTGTGTCTCTATTTGAAAGATGCATTAGTCTAGAGTGCTACATATATTAAAGTTAAATTCAAAGTTATTAACATCCAAGAAAAAAACCAGATACTAAGTAATATTCTATAATTATTGATATAAGAATTCAATAAGTAAATCAGAATACACAACTGCAGTGAGTCAAGAACTATGAGCAGATCTTTTAAGTGTTTGAAGTAGTAAAAAGAGATGCTTGAATGACCAACAGTGAGACAATGTATACTAGGAATTGTTTGATAAATTATTGTATTCTGTACTATTTTCATAAAATACATGACTTTCTTGCAGGATAAGCTTCAAAAAGTTACCGTATTTGGTGCTGGTCTATTAGTAGGAACTGCCCTGGCTGTGATTATTCCTGAAGGAGTCCGCTCACTGTTCAGTGAGAGATCTCTACCAACCATTATGACCAAGGACTACACAGCTGAGCCACCTGGACATGACGATGATTTGCATTCAGTTATTGGAATATCTCTTGTGCTGGGTGAGTTTTATTATCGCATTCATCTTATCCAAGTGGTGAAAAGGGGAGGATAATATATAATTGTTATTTGTATGCTTGCTTTCTGTCTCATGCTTATTTCTAGCATTGAATGTACCATTATATTATAATTAACTTGTTTAAGAGCCACCCTGGCTGTGTGACTAACCTGTCTAAATATTCTGAGCCATAATGTCAAAGCTCCAATTCAGATACTTTAACCAGCTATGGGGACGGAATTAAGTCCGCTCTATGATTAATAAACTTTTAAATATAATAACCCTGAAACCAATCTGCCCTGTGTTATCCTGGGGCATTTCTAACAATAGCAACATTTTTCATTCGGTTTAAGAGTTCAAACCTCGGCTCGGGCCATCGTAATATCTATCCCCATTTGAATTGGACTGGGGATCGATCAGAGGGAAGAACATTCAAATTCAAAGCCTTTATTAATTGACACAAAATTGTACAATCCAACATCATATTTAATTAAAAGTTTAAAATATAAAAGAAATATTAGTTATATATAGGCCAGTGTAAATCTGAAGCTTTTGCAGATCATCTTAGTAGAGTCTTCGTGCCCAATAATGCTGCTCCGAATGTAGACGAATCTGAAATGGACTCAATTCTTGAACAGGATCTTCAGCTAGACCTTCCTCTAAAACTAGTGACACCCAAAGAGATTTATGGAAACATAAAAACCATGGAAAACAACAAGGCACCAGGGTTTGACCTCATTGACAAAAAGATTCTTGAAGAGATGCCTTCCAGAGCTATAGTGTATCTCACAATGTTGTATAATGCAATTTTAAGAGTTGGACATTATCCAGATTTGTGGAAAGTATCTCAAATCATAATGATACACAAACCTGGTAAACCGACTCATGAGGTTGCTTCTTATAGACCAATTAGTTTATTGCCTGTCATGTCTAAGCTGTTTGAAATGTCCCTTCTGCACAGACTAACAAATGTTCTCAAAGAAAAATCTGTTATCCCTGATGATGATGATTTCGAAAAGAACATGCCACTGTTGAACAAGTTCATAGAGTATGCCGCAAAATTAGAAAATCCTATGAAAAGAAAGAATATTGTACATCTGTGTTCATTGACGCCCAACAGGCCTTTGATAAAGTTTGGCACAAAGGATTACTATATAAAATTAAATGTTTGCTTCCACACACATTCTATTCAGTATTCAAGTCCTATGTGTCCAATAGGCTATTTCAGGTGAAAGAAAATGACTGCACTTCAGGATTTTATGAAATCCGTGCAGGAGTACCACAGGGCTCTGTACTAGGACCTGTCTTATACATTTTGTACACATCCGACTTACCTCAAAGTACTGAAATTACAACAGCAACGTTTGCTGACGATACGGCCTTACTTGCTTCGAGCGAATGTCCAATTAAAGCTTCCAACATCTTACAAAAAAACCTAAATGAAGTAGAAAAATGGCTAACTAAGTGGAAAATTGCTGCAAATGTGACTAAATCAGTCCATGTAACGTTTACCCTTAGGAAAAGCGATTATGCACCAGTTACCCTAAATGGTACTCAACTTCCACATCAAGATACAGTTAATTACCTAGGAATGCATTTAGATCGCAGACTTACTTGGAAAAAGCACCTCCAAATGAAAAGGGAAGAAATAAATAATAAATATAGAAGTCTCTACTGGATGCTTGGTAGAAATTCAAGATTGGCTATCGATAGCAAACTTCTCATTTACAAGGCAATGTTTAAGCCAATCTGGACATATGGGATACAACTATGGGGCTCTGCTAGTGACTCCAAAATAATGACAATACAACGAGTTCAAAATTATATATTGAAACAACTTTTGGATGCACCATGGTTTATAAAAACAACTGAGATCCACAAACTACTTGATATCCCCATGGTTAAGGATGTAATTAATGACTACAGCAACAAATACAAATCACGACTACACAGGCACCCAAATAAATTCGCTGGGCAACTTACAATACCTGAAAATTTGCCCCGATTAAAGAAAAGGCGTGATATATTTGACCAAGATAGTCAGACAGGACTGACTTTTTAAGAGCGAGGAGCTGTTCTACTGAGAGCGGCACTCTACCTGTTACAGACGGAACACCACATTTGCTTATAGTCCATGTGACTGATTGCAAGATCTAAAAGGGAAAAAAAAAATATATATGTTTTATGTTACTTCTAATTCTGCACATCACTCTCTGAGTCAACGTGTCTTTTAGACACAAAGGCCTCCTCCAGCGTTTTCCATGTGTTCCTATCTTTTGCCAATCGGAGCCACAGTGGGCTGGCAATCTTTCTAAGGTCATCATACCATCTCTTGTACTGTCTTCCTCTTTTTCGTTTCGTTTTTTCGGGAAGAACATTATGTACCTACAAAGAATATTTAAAATAGGATTGTGCATGCTTATAGCAAATGTATGAAACATTTGCTATTGTGTTCGCAAAAAAATATGTGATCCATAAAAATTTTAAACCTAATAAAAATATACAGACTGACTCCTCAATCCATCCTAAAACGATAGCAACATATAATAAAAAAATAACACCTAGTTCTTGGAGCTATCTCACACAGTCAGAAGACTGAAAAGGAGTAAGTTTTTGTAAACGTAGTATAGGTGCTGAGTTCTTCATCTACAAATAAAGAAGCACTCTGTGCATCAGCTTATAGCCTTGTTACTGATTGCTAATATAAAAAGGAAAAAAGGATATCTTTAATTGAATCTATGATAAAGCAAGCAATAATAATAAACCTTTTTTTATGTAAAACTTGTTCATTATTGCACTGTTAAATACATAATAAACTTAATTATATGCACAGTGAGCAAAGGTGGACTTATCTCTAAAAGAGATATATCCTATAGACTAGACTATCCTATAGATGGACTAATCTCTACCAACAACCTAACAGTGTGGCATAGCTTATTAATGAGTGGGTAACACCAGTGTACTTGTGTCACCAGTCTCACGTGATAATCATTTGTATATGGTGCTATTCATGTATATAGGTGGTTGTTACCAATAACCATCAGGTAAACTGTCAGCTTGAGATATTTCATAAAAAAATTCTGAAGATATGTATGAGTGATTTTTAAGTTATTGTCTGCATTCCAGGTTTTGTATTCATGCTACTAGTCGACCAAGTATCAACAAGATATAATGAGTCCAGCAATCCTGTGGAAAAGAATGTTACAGCTACTGTGGGTCTGGTAGTCCATGCTGCTGGTAAGTTTGTTACATTAGAGAATTAACACATATTTGCAAGGAAATAATAAAAAAATGATTACAATAATTTCATTATTTGTACCATTATTCCCCCCCCCCAATCCTACTTTGTTCATGTTTTATTTTATTTGAAATGAAAATAAAAAAAAAAATTAATTACAAGGGACCAATATATTTTTTTCGTGGATGATTATGAAATGCCTTGTGCAAATGATTACAATAATTTCATTATTTGTACCATTATGTATGTAAGTACAAAAAATGTATTTAAGATACATGTATATGCATGGAAAACACTCAAATAATACTTAAAAGAAAAATCATAAAAAAGAGCACTCATGAATACAAATGTCTATGTGAGGAATGGACCTCGGTAGTATAGAGTGTGCCACACCGCTAGACCACCGAGAGCGTAAAATTTGTATATATATTTTAATTGATATAATTAATCAATGCCTTCTAGATAATATATGTAAATCAGAACTAAATTCAGTATATTTAATTTTATGATATATAATTTAATTACGTGTAGTTAGTAACAAAATTATAAGCGTGTTTATATTTAAAACCTTTTATCATCATGGTTTTGATTTCTTTATCAAGAAACATATAGCATAGATTATAAATATGATAACATGAAGATTAACCTACATATGTTTCGTCATTATGTATAAAAATTGAATTCAAAATGGTATAAGTAACTTTAAACATTGTAATATTATTTTATACTAGCTACTCGCCTCGGCTTTGCACGGGTGTACCTTTATTATACATATAAACCTTCCTCTTGAATTACTTGATCTATTAAAAAAACGCTTCAAAATCCGTTGCGTAATTTTACAGATTTAAGCATATATAGGGACAGACAGCGACTTTGTTTTATACTATGTAATGATATAATACAAAAAGTATCTTATATTAATCTAGGATATGATATATCTCCTTCATTCGAATCTGTTCAGTACTATTTGAAACAGAGACAAATATCATATCTAATCCCACAAACTTTTACGTAACTAAGTAGTACGATATCCATCGAGTCAGGACCTATCGTGGCGAATTGACCAGGAATTGTCAACGATGGTTTCCAGCAGGGATCGCGCCCCCAATATTCAGATAATAATAATAATCTCAGGAGAATTCACACAGCGCCATCTAGACAGACCCAAGCTAGCTAATTACTAGATTACTGATACAAATAAATAATATATTTTTTTTCGTAAATACATACATAGAAAACACCTAGACCGATACAAACAATCATACTCATGAATACAAATGTTTGTGCCGTGCGAGAAATCGAACCCGCGACCATCGGAAGAAGACGGTGTGCTACCGCTAGACCACCAAGGCCAAATATTGTATTAGTATATTGAATATATATTTTTTTCCAGCTGATGGTATTGCTCTTGGAGCTGCAGCCACAACATCCCACGCGGATGTGGAGTTCATAGTGTTTCTAGCCATTATGCTCCATAAAGCGCCAGCTGCGTTTGGTCTAGTCACCTTCTTGCTGCACGCTGGTTTAGAAAGGTAAAATATTTAAAATTACTGTTTTGTTAACCAGTGTAGCACCACTCAAACAAAAATTTACTATTCCTAAATTGGTTTTAAACGGTGCACTTTTGCTCATTCGTTTAATCAAACATGTATTTGACAATGGTAATGGAATGCTACACAGGCCTCTGTTTTGGAAATAAGATAATGCAGCAGTAAATTAAATATTAAAATATACTTATCATTTTATGTTTATAATTTGAAATTAGAAAAAATCATTGAGATATAAAAGTGACATATTCTAAAAAAATTGTCAAACAATTCTACAATGACCAGCATCACTCCGCTAATGGATTACGCTGGCGAGGCACTAGTGTAAATGACAGAATGAGCATGAAGTCGGGTCAGTTAAACAATCGTGCTAAATTTACCAAGAATTCATTACGATTTCTAGGGGAAACCGCGTGGAGGTCAATGAAAAGAATAGAATGTAATGAATGTTTATTTACAAAATATTGATATTTGCACAGAGCAGAACTTATATAATAATTTACAGTTGTTATTGGTCAATATTGCTAACAATCCTCTCACCCCTTGAACATATTGATATCTTTCATTACAATTTCCATTTTATACGACGATTATTTGCAGAGCAATAGAAAAAAGTTGTCTGTGGACAGAGCTACCCTCTGTGTTTATATATTTACCTATTTAAGCCGCAAAAAATGTAGCGGCAATAATAAAGTAGTTGTATTCAAAATTTAACCATTTTTTGTCCGCTGAAACATAATATTATTTTCTTTTCTTACAGAAACAGGATACGCAAACATTTATTAATATTCTCGTGCTCGGCACCACTACTTGCACTACTAACTTACTTTGGCATTGGAAACGAGAGTAAACAGACGCTAAGCGACTTTAATGCTACAGGTAAATTATTTATTTTTACTAAACTGCTAATGAAAGTGCATGTATAATATTTATATATACCATAATGAGACGTAAGTGTACATAATTAAAGGCAGTTAGTCTTTATTTTATTGAAAAATAACAAATCTATTTTGATACAACAACCATAAATTTATTAATACCTATATTTTATCAATTTGGTGGTAATGCGATTTACATATATAAATTATTTCTGAATAACCTATAAAAATAGGTAATCAATATTAATTTCTGATAGTGCCACAATTTCAAAAATGCAACATCAACGTTAAATGTTTTTTTGTGCCCAGTAACATAAGTATTTAAAATAATATAATCGCGATGCTATTATCCTAGATGGCGTAGGCAGAGGCATCGTAAATTGTCGATGTCGTGGTTAATGCAAATCTTGACATGACCACTTTTAGCTGGGTATATTTATTTCCAACTTGGCAAGAAACAATCATACAGCCAACGTCTCGGACAATTTTTAGTTTGTTTTAGCTGTTTGATTCACCGGAGAATCAGTCAGAATTATAAATTTACACATAATTTATTTGTTTTGACCAGATTTATTACATTTAGAAATTACATTATGTACTATCAACTAGTTGGATGTCGTCCTGTCTCAAAAAACAGCGCTACATATAAACATACAGAAATCTTTTGAAATGAACTTGTGTCTAACAAGTTCATTCAAATAACTCCAGTCATTTGAGTGGAGTTACACACATACAAAAGACTTATTATTTCATTATTATTTTTAATATTTTAAATGGTACACTCTCTCTTTTTCTTACTGGAACCAACCTGAGTTAGGTTCAGTTTTTAATAAAAAAAATTTAATTCAAAATATCTTTATTCATGTAGGTCTATTACGGACTTTTATGATATGTCAAATCTATAGTTCGGAATTATTAAATACTATTTTTATTTTTTTTATTCTATACTTTACATTAATGATTATAGACAAAATATTTTAATAACAATCCCTGCTCAAGGCTTATGTCGCAGGAATCAAAAAACTTAAAATAGTAATAATTAAGATGATACTTTTTATGTTTTCAGGTATAGCCATGCTGTTCTCAGCGGGCACATTCTTATATGTTGCAACTGTTCATGTGTTGCCTGAACTCACTCACTCACACGCACATACTCACTCTCTTCTTCCCACACAGGAGGGGGCACCCCCCAAGAAGGGTTTTGGGGGATTGCAATTTTGCGAAATGATAATTTTAACTGTTGGAGCATTATTACCCCTACTTTTAACTATGGGTCATAAACATTAATTTTTTTTGTTTGAGAACAATATAGGAGTGTTAGGACGAGACAACATGAGTTGTTATTGAAATTTGTAAAGACCAAGCTGTCTAATCTGGAAACAAATTCCGATTCAAAGACATTGGATTGCCCCGTAACTTTTCAGCTCTTCAATAGCATATTATTTCCATGTTTCTTGTTCACTAAGCTAGCTAGCTAGCTGTTTCAGCTAACTGATATAGTTACTTAATGATTCGACTTATTCCTGTTTATATTTAAAAAAAATAGTACAAAAATTAATTGACTTGATATATAAAGATTGTAATCCAGAGCAGACATCCTGTTTTAACTCTCCTGACTGTAGCTTAAATATTTATTTTTACCGAGTTCCTAGTAATAAATTTAGTGTATATATGACCTTAGAAGGATAACATCTCATTCCTCAAGAATGACAACATATTAGTGGTACCACGGGTGTCTTATGTTAACTTGAAGCCCCTAATGCTATTTATGTATACAGGCGACACTTATCATCATCGTGTATGCCAATAAAATACAAAAAAATTTAACTCGACTAACCACTCTAATATGTGATAGAGTACAATAGTCTGAAAACTAAAAAAAAACAGGTTTTGGAGTCTAAAACGCAAGAGTAAACGCGTCTATTGCGTCGATCTTTTTAGAAGTATAAATAAAAGGGGTATATGGCCTAAGTATTTGTTTCTTTAGAATCATATAATAATTATTATTTACATTGTTAACACGAACAATTTTATGGTAAATAAAAGTATTTAGACGTTTCTAAAACGCACAGTCTTTTCTACTACCGCCACTAGATTGTCCAACGATAGATCGCGACACAGAACTCACGGTGTCCGTACCCAGTTAACAATATAAATAATGTATATTAAGCACGAACGTTTAAAATAAACCATACAAATATTAGAATTGATGTCGCGGTTAATCTGATGAACAAAAAATCATAATAAGTTATTGATTATTATTATATCAATCTAATTAATTAATCAAAAATGTAATTGTTTACTGTCAACAAAAGTTTTCAGTTACATTTGTCCAATTGTAACCCATCTGTCGTGTAAAATCAATCTATTCATATTTATAACAAATTTCTGAGGAGTTGTCCTTAACCTGTCATCTACGAAGGAGCCAATTGTACTCTGACGCTATAGCCCCATCTGTGAGAAGTCCTGTAATTGGTCTCCCAGACGGGTCGTTAATGTCATTTTGACAGCTAACAGTTGGAAGGTTAAAAGTAGTTTTATTTTATTATTAGTAATTTTACAGATATAATAGGTAAAATATTTTTTTCTTTTTAATAAAATCGTATATCTCCTTGTTACGCAGTAATATGTTAAATATTATATTTTGCATTGTTACAACTTTAAATAAGTATTATAAAATCTGTTCTACAGTTATGCAGTAATCGTGGGAACAGTGTAATTATATATGAAACACTAAACCAACAGTTAATAATTTATCTATAAGTAGTATAATATACACCATAACATTTCTTGCTTAATCATTGTACACAATATTTTCGTTTCAGTTATTTATCATTGTTCCTCAAATAATAAATTACTTATTAAGAAAAGAGAAATAGTTAATATTTCAATTGAATTTATAAGATGTTTAGTCTCAATTTTCTTGTCTATCGCCGAGATATGACTCTATTATTACGTGGTATCGTGTTAAATCAATAGGTGAATTTGTGTGTCTACTTAGACACATAATTTCTCCCATTTAGGTACACTTACATGAACTGTTTTTTAACAGTTATATCCTATACGCTATGCCTGTTATTTAAATGATCGCTGCCGGCCTATGTATATGAATTTCGTAAAAGAGAAATAGAGAGAGAATTAAAATAATTCTTTACGTTTTACTTTTTCTGCTATTCCTGTGTTCAATAGTAATATTTATTAATTCCTTTTTTATTAAAGTAATTGTATATAATATATATTTTTATATTCTAAAAAAGACAAGTATTTATTAAACTTTTTATTTAATTTATTATATTAAATATTTTAAAAAATTGTCCTAAAACACACTAAAAAGGAATCTGATGTTCCTGTCTCGTTTTAACTCATGAATGCACTAACAACCAATTTGTTATAGATAGATTTTTAGCCAGTTTGCCCTTCACGGTACCTACGAGGTGGGCAGAACTTGTGCCAAAAGCGACTTTTAATTCACCTACTTTTAACTCGTCTCATGTATAGACGCGTGTTCTACAATTATAGACGACTAAATAACTTCCGTGGCATTTTTGTACATATCTAGTACCTTTATTTTACGGTAGTGTGAACAAAACGTTTTCTATATAATTTATTTTTTACAGACAAAACACAAAAACATACAGGAATTTGTCCTGTATTTTTTGTGGTTTGTCAATTCTTAATAGATATCCACAATCTACATATGAGATTTACTACATGGCTTTGTACTAATTGTCGTTATTGAGTTTTACTAATCTGCATTTATGATTTAAAAAAAAATACTAAAATTACAGACATTCCAGTAGTAAAAATTAATATGTAGGTAAATGAATAATTTTTGTTTTATTTTTATAATTTCATTGATGAAATGTTTTTATTAGCTACTTTAAGTAGATTATTTTATATAAATGTAGTTTTTTTTACATAAATATAAGTAAAAAATATATTAAGGTCTGTGTAAGTATTCGATATTGTAATAAAAAAAAGAAGATATAGTATTATAATGTGTTTGTAAAATTATAAAAAATAATTGTGTATATAAAAAAGGTGTATATATTTATATTTCATTGGTGTAAAAATTCATATTTTGCTTGACATAATTATAGCATTGTAATTTATTCTATAGTATAATGGCTAGTGATATGCTGTGTTCCTTTAAAAAAATGTACACAAATAATTGAATCTAAATTTTTTAGTGAAATAAATGAATGAACAATACATATATTTTTTATATCATATAATCATAAATACCTACATATTATTTTTCGATGGCCTCGGTGGTCTAGTGGTTTAACACATCGCCTTACTCGGAAGGTCGCAATTTCCATTCCTCGTACAGTACAAACATTTGTATTCAGGAGTATGATTTTTTATATCAGTCTGTGTGTTTTCTATGTATTTATATCAGCTGTTTGCTTAGCTTAACTTGTGACTAGGTGCTGTGTGAATTGTCCTGAGGTTATATATTGTTATCCAAACTGTTTTTTGGGTAGGTAATTAAAATGGCAATCAAGCTTACGACCTATATGATGGAAAGTCCTAACCGTAAAAATAACACCACGAACACCAGGATGTCAACAGTATCCGCTGTGGATATCAAATTGGTCAATAAAATACACAAGCTTTTTGTAGCAAAATAAACTTGCGGTTCACCTGATGGTAGATAAGTGATAACCGCAGCCCATGAGCATCCGGGTATTGCAAGTTCATTGCCAGTCTTTTAATAAAAAAATAAGCTCTTTTCTTGAAGGTTTCTGTATCGCATCGGTTCGGAAATACCATTTCTGGAAGGTGATTCCACAATGTTTCTGGAAAAACGCACGTTGGAGGACCGCTTTTTACGAGCACGATGCTATTTTAGTTTCTGGCGGGTAGTGCTATAGCGATTGTGAAATTCAATAGCTGGTATTAATTCGAACAATTCCTCAGTACACTCCGTGATACCTATATGCGGTGGAAAATGCATGGATGCAATGGCTCGCCGCAAAGCCATTGGCTTTAATGTAGAATAGAATTTTATTGACTTGTCTTGACACAACGATAATTACAAAAAAATACAAACAACAATTTACACATTACAAAACAGAGTTAATGTGGACCGTAGGATTAACACGTCTTTCAAAGCCTCCACTTTGATGTGATTAAAATATACCTAATCGTCGAAATTCACGCATTTCGCCTATTAGAAAGTTCTATTCGCCACGGCCTTCGACCATGTCTTTTGATAACAAATAGGTACTTATTTATATTTCTAACAATTTAATAAAACGCGAATAATGCTAGATTGTACAATAATTTATATATATATCTAATAAAATTTACTAATACATATACAATTAATAATATATACCTATGTAATAACATTCGTATTTTAGAAATATATGTTTACAAATCAGGTCCCAAGAATTGTATAGTTTAATACAGGCATTTATATTTGTAAGAATTAAAATGGCAAACAATGTGACTGTTGTCATGCCTCGTAGCTGAAAACTGATATGAAACTATAGAGTTATAGTTTCATATCAGTTTTCAGCATTAAAACAGTTCGAAAAAAAGTATCTCCTATCCTGTAATTTTACTGTCCCTTCTCAACCTACAATTTAAACAGCTTAAAAGGTAAGCGATTAAGCGGCTGAGGTAGTAAGGTATCTACGCATGCATATGCCTTTTTAACAAATTACTTCAGTGCACACAATTTTAGAAATCAAACTTTAAAATCCAGTATATACATAAAAATATATACCACCACATAAACATATAAATCGCTACTACAATGTAATTTACAATCTTTAACCAAAACTGTTTCTTCATACTCAAATTTGTATCTTTAAGACCATCTTTCAATATGTACTTTCTTAATCCCACACCCCATATTAGTAACATTTCTTTCCAATTAATAACTTTAGAGTCGAAAGCAAAAATATCTTGATCGGTTTTGGTTAAACTCTTATATAATTGTATGGTGTTAGTATCTGTGAAAATCCATTCATTGGTAGTAAAATGTGATAGAACGGACGTAATTCTCCAGGCTTTATTGTAGACTTTGTTTAATCTGAAATTCAAAATATCTTTATTCATATAGGCCTGTTACATACTCTTATACGTAACATGTCAAATCTACCGTCAGTTCGTAATTTCAGATTAGAAGAATACATTTCGAGATTATTCCGAAGAACAAAATATGACATTCAAAAGTGCTTGTAATGAGTTTATTTGAATAAAGATTATTTCTATTTCTATTTCTATTTGACAAAAACAATTCATGTACAAATGAATGTTGTACATGTTTACAATAATACAGATTCATTTTTCAAATTTAAATTTGGGATATTATGAAATATCTTTGAAAGAATAAAAATATTTAAATGTTTCTATACATAAAAATGTTTTTTTTGTCTATCTGCCTATAAATAAAAGGGACCTCTATATTCATAATTTCCTGTTTCTAACCTCAAACATTAACCTTTCCAATTTATCAACGTTGATAGATTCATAGATAGATCAGTCAAGACGTACGTTTATAAATACCTTATAGTTTCACATAAGAACTGAGTTCAAACTTAAAAAAAACGAATCTACAACACAGCTTGAGTATTCAAAAGTCGTATTAGTAATCTTAACTGTATGCATTAATTTATTATAGTAGGTAAGTTAATAGTCGTGGGATAAATTTTGTAATAATACCAAAATTATTAATATAATAATAGTAATCTCAGGACAATTCACACAGCGCCCTCTAAACTCAAGTTATGTTAGCTAAAGCTTGTGTTATGGATACTAGATAACTGATACAAATACGTAGATTTTTATTCGTAAAAACATTTTTCGTATATTATATGGTAATGAATGCAAATGTTTTTACCGTGCAAGGAATCGAACCGAGACCATCGGAAGTAAGGCGGTGTGGTAAACCGCTAGACCACCGAGGCCGTCAAACTAATAGAAATATTATAAATGTTAATATATATAAATATTTAACTATCTCTCCGTTAGTAAAAAACAACATAGAGTGAACCAAATTAATCAGGGGAGACGGTAAGCTAACATGCCATGATATTTTTTTTTTTCTTAGCGAAAGTTTCCATTTACGACAACGTCGGCAATAGACACTGTGTCTGACATTACGCACGAAGTAATAATAAGAATAATCATTATGGATAAATAGATAATAATGAATACTTACATTGGCTCTTTTCCTATTATTGATAGTATTCCATCTACAAAATATGCTGGTATAAAATGAAACAACCACGTAAGTAGATATGCCACTTGAACGTATTTTGTTTCCACCGCAGTGCAATACCAAACTGCTTTAGGTGATATTATACTTCTCAAGTCGTTTTTCATGTAAGAATTTAAAATTCCTGTAAAATAAAAATTCTAAAATGTATTTTTTTACCAAGGTTGATATTGTCATATCTGTTTCGTCTATTTTAGCCGCAAATTTGATTAATGTAAACGTAAATTTTGTTTCGAAATGAAAGGTGAGATATGGTAGTCAAATTACAGGGTAGTATGGCATTTGTGTATGAGTGACAATGCATTACCAGAACATTACGACATTTCGTCATAATATGGCCGGTGCTACATCGACGGTGACGGTTCTGTCCTACGATCAAGTGGACCATCAGCTTGTTATATATATAAATTGATTATTTATTTGTTGTATTGCATATGCACTATAGAACTAGGTGTTACCTTATCCGGTCAAAAATATTCTCACATTTTAAATTTGTTTTTAGTTTTTATATTCTTTTCTTGTATAATATCTAAAAACACAACATTATGTACAGTAATTTATTTAAAGTAAACTAAACAGATCTTACCCCAAAGACATGGATTTCTAGAATTACTAACAGTATAGATCATTGTATCTTTCCCTCCTAATGACCATTTGTCTGATGTCTGCCATCCGGTAACTATGATTGTATTTGTTACCATATCGACCGGTATCAAGTCTATTTTGATATCGGGATCAGCAAGAACCACGTGGATGATTCCCAATCCAAGGCCAAGAAGTATCTAGAAAACAATTAATAAATTGTAAGTTTTTAATCGCGATTTTGTTTGCATCACTATCTTCTATATTAATAATTCCGTCAAGGGGTACGGTAGACTCGAACGAAACCTTTATGTGAATAACAAAACATAAAAAAATATTAATTTCGAGTCGACAACATATAACTTGTTTTACGGCTCTAGATACAAGTTCTTTTTAGCCCAATTTAAAGTTTTACAAAAAAATAAAAATTATTTGCAAAAGTTACACTTTTATTTACTATATTTATTAAACACAATGAACGAAGCTTTACAAATCTATGCCTTGCTTACTTTTAATGTTCCATGAGAACCGATGACTACAGAAATATCTACCCACTACCCACCTACGAGCGAATCCGGGTTTTCATCTAGTACTTATACAATGTCGTATAACTGATATCAAATTTACAATAAACAAAGAATTTCTCTTTCACATTTACATTACTCTGTTTAATTGAAACTTAAATTATTTTATATTTTTTTAACTGTTATATTATTTCATTAAGAAGCTATTTGTCTTTATTTAAAAAAAAAAGTGTCAGACACTGTACGTAATAATAATAACCCAACATTACACTACGTATTTTTTATAAATTTATTGTATATTAAACTGATTCAAGGATAAGATAAGTAATTATTTCTTAGATAAGTTAGGACATATCTAAATAAAATTTCGCCCTTTCACTTACCCCACTAGCCCCAAATACGTTACTCTTGTCCAACCATCCCGGTGACGGTTCACTGTACGACCCGATTACTGTAAAAAAAGATAAATATATATAAAAACATAAGTAATATAACAATTATAATTTTCAATATTGAAATAGCTCGAATTTAATTAATTGTGTAATTTTTGCTTAAGGAACAATTCTCAAATGTTGATAACAAATTTAAACATAAACACTATATTATAAAAATAATTGCATTTCTGGTTAAAGCTTATAGTCTTTGAAAAATAATGACAGATTTTTTTATTTTATATTTCAATACTGAACCAAATGCGTATGAAACATTAGTTCCATTGGCTAGAGATGAACTATTCTAAAATGATTTAAAATTGCTTCACCAATTCACGTATAATTAGTTACATGTATTATATACTTTTATTTATTTACTTCATTCAAACATTGAAATAACAGTCTTCATAATAATTGTATTATTTACCGTAACCGTACCGTTACCGTATTCTTTACATAGTAGATATAAAGTGAAGTAGCTTACATTGTCTGTTCGTTTATATATTTTAAATTTTTATGCAGTTACAGAAATAGGTAGTGTAATTCAAGAAAAAGTTTTATATGTATAACACAAGTACACCCTTGTGAAGCCGTGGCCGGTAGCTATTCTCTTATAATAGTTATCTAATAATAATTTCAGGACATTTCACACAGCGCAACCTAGACCCAAGATAACATATTAGATGTTAAAATAAAAGTTTCCGATAAAAAAAAATCGGTATCGCAGGAACACCACTACCCCGCTACAAGTGGTAACATTATTTGAAAGTTTGACATTTATACATGTCAATTTAGTCCACGGGATTAAAACAGACTATAGCTAAAATTTGTGTTATGGATACTAGATAGGTAACTGATACACATACTAGTATATTTTTAATATATATATTTTTTCGTGAATACATACATATTATACATAGAAAACACCCTTATAAATACAACTTGTGTGTAATTTGTATAAATATTAATATTTTATTAACAAAGTTATACTTTATCAAGCTAAGGGCGTAGAACCCTTAGAATTATAAAAGCGAAAACACTAATAACCCAGAATTAAATTATATTTTACTCACCAATTGTCGGTCTAACGATACAGATTGGCAAATCGTCTGTATTAAGACGAATTAATTCCTCAGTTACAATTTTCGTAAACGTGTATGTATTCGGCCATTGTTTTCTCAATCTGAAATTTACAAATCTTGTTATTTTATACTCCATTCTTATTTCAATTGTAATAAATTCAAATAAAACCAAATGGTAAAATTAAGTATATAAAAAAATATATAGGTATTTGGCTCGGAAGTAACAAGGAGCAAACCAACCTTAAGCAAACATCTTCCAATGCTTTGTCGTTGAAATTCTCAGCGATATCAATCAATTTCTCAGGCTCTATGGGGCTTGGGTAGAATTTTTCTAAAATATCAGTTTTCATATTATCCTTTGTAGCTAAACTGTAGGCAGTCGATATGTAAACGAAGGATCTGTAAAAAAATCCTTCGAATGTATTTTCAAATAGAAAAGTCATGGGCACTGTTAATTGTGACGGTTGTAATGAAAGGAATTCTTCATCTTTTTCAGATACGATTTTATAATATGTACTGTAAACAAAAGAATGCAAATTTTATGAGTATACATTGAATTCGCAAAATCATAAATAATGCATGACTATTCGAAAAATCTTTTACTATTTACAGCACGACATCACAAATTTTATATTCACAGATTTTCTCTTGCGTTGTATTTGTTATAGCTAAATGTTATATATATCTTCGACACAATTTCTTTTTATGTCCAATCTGCAATGTAAGTTATTTTGTGAGAGAAATAAGTGGCTGCCCACAAAGATTTTGAAGAAAGTCTTACCTAAATATAAGTATAATTTAACCAAAATCAGACGCGTTATAGTAACCTACATAATGCAGTAGATATGTAGATTTAGATACGACATTCCTTTTAATAATTTACAGGTGGTTAAGTGGAAACTACGGACATATAAGTATCATAATGTGTACTATAATATATATTAATAATAATTAACATATGTATGTATATATAGTCTACAACAAACCTGAGTTTCTTACAATTTTTAGCCAAGGTCAGAATCTCTCTCGTTCCCCTTACATTAGTAATTGTTGCGTTTTTCAAAGTATCGTCGAACCTTGTAGTAGCGGCTGCATGAACTATGATTTCTACCTGAAAAATAAATTTCTATATTTAATTCAGTAATTAAAATAATTGAAACTTGAATCAAACGATGTCTTAGGTCAACACATACTTCCCATTTTATCTTTAACAATTTGATTCCATTGTTTGTATTATCTTACTAAAATTGATCCCATTTCGATGGTTCCCTCTAGAAACTATCTGGTCCCATATAAATATATTATCCGTATTGGAAGAAAATGAAGCTAGTCAAATGTACATTCTACAAAGCTAATTCATACTTGGCAATGCTAATTATGAGTTACATTATTAAATTATAAATTCTACCAGTGTTCTTCAATTCACTATTTACTACTTGCTAAAAGACAAACTTGGTGCTACTTATTTAGAATAAATTTTTAGACTAGCGTAATGTTTTGAGTTACAAATAAACACACATTTTGATAAATTTAATAATAATAATATTTCAGGACAATTCACCAATCCATCCATCTAGTCCTAAGCTAAGCAGAGCTTGTGTTATGGTTACTAGACCACTGATATTAATACATATCTATAATCTATAAATATAAATAAAATTGTCTGTTTGTAATATTGAAATAATCGTTTTTTACTACATGCATATGAATATAAATATGGTACATACACCAAAATATTTTTTTTTACATTTTTGTCTGTCTGTCTGTTTGTTCCGGCTAATCTCTGAAATGGCTGGACCGGGACTTTTTTTGGCAGGTAGCTGATGTAATAAGGAGTAACTTAGGCTACTTATATTTTAGTAAAATAAAGTTAAATTCCAAGCGGATGAAGTCGCCGGAACAGCTAGTACTTAATATATATAGAAAACACCCAGCACCGATACAAACAATCATACTCATGAATACAAATATATAATAAAATAATATATACTTCAGTTGCAATTTTTTTCCTATCTTCATCGCCAAGTCCAAGACCAAGTTCATTGACGTCGCCTACCACAGCCGTTAACTTTTTGGCAAAATTTAGTCTCTGATTTCTAAGACTATCAAATACCTGAAAACAAATAAAAAGCAACATACTATATATAGGTATAAAAGGGCAATTTTAAAATTAGTAAACTATTACATATTGCTCTTATCTTTCAGATTCTCCATCAGCAGCCAAGTTTTCTGTTAATAAATGGAAGGATGAATTTATTCTTAGCTGAATTTACATCCCAAATGATCCGGTAAAATAACAATATAATAATGTAAAAACCAGTAATTAAGATGACGTCTTAGGCTTTGATACCGTCTACCGGAAGAGAAACCCCAAATAACGCCCGTAACTTGTGTAGGTGTGACACGGTTGTAGGTTTACTAGGCCCTTTTAGAATGCATTAACACTCACCTTCACTACTTATAACTTATAGATAGTCTAACGAATCGAATTAACAAACCAACAGGTGAGCTTCTACAACCCCTTTAAAACTTGCTTAGTTTCATTTGAATAAACATGTTTTTTTATCGGTAAGGGGACATGAATTACGTGAGGCAAATTTGACTATTTCTACAACAATACCACTACCTCCTTGATAAGATATCGTGACATTTGTCTCATCCTTCGTCTTCCCGTAATTTCATGTGACATATTTTGCATCTGACTGGCCAGCTATTAAACAATGATAAGAAAGGATGCCAATCGTACGGGAATCATCGTACATGTACATATATCATTATCAACATCTGCTTCTTCTTTATCCTATTTATTTGAGATTTACGATTTTCGATACGACGACATCGATACATTTCATCCTCGTACAAGATTTTATTGTACGATATTTTGACATATATTAATTGGTCAAAATACTATGACGCACAAAATTAGCCCATATACGATATTTCGACTTTTTACAAGCATATTTTTTTAAGTTTGGCGACCCTGTTTGAGATGCTACTGTGTAAGTTCGCATAACAGCGATATGTATTATATTATTATGTACATTTCAGCAACCTAATGAAAAATATCAAAATAATTAATGGATGCGATCAATTACGTGAGATTTTCCATTAAGGTTGTTGAAATGTACACAATAATACCGGCCTTATAAATAATTTTATAGACTACTCACCGGATCCTGTAAAACTTCATGAATTCGTGTCTCCGCACATTTGTTCTTTTTAGTTCGCAACAATAAATATATTTTTTTAATGTCGCACGATCTGAAAAAGAAAATTTTCTATCTGTCTTCTAATGTTATGAGTTTCTACAGGTTTCGTTTATAAAATGAAAGTTGCTAACTCTATTTTCTAAACGTTATATACGTTTTACTTGCCCTTGCACTTGTTTCTCTTTTTTATTTATATATAAATAATAACATAAACATATACCTGGACAATTAACACAGTGCCATCTAGTCCCACGATAAGCAGAGTTTGTGTTATAGGTACTAGATAACTGATATAAATACTTAGCTATTTTTTTTTGTAATTAGACAAAAAACAACTAGACCGATACAAACAATCATACTCATGAATACAAATGTTTGTAGCGTGCGAACAATCGAACCCGCGACTTAAAAGTTTGCTAAACCACTAGACCATCGACCAAATTAGTTCTTGTTGTTTATAATATAATAAACAATAATAAACAAATTTATGTATATATTTCTCTTTTGCTTCTTAAGTTGTTAAGAAGTTAAGCCCGTCAAACATAAGTTGAGGCCGCCACTTCATGCATAAGTTATTGTATTAATAACAAGTAACCTGTTTTCGTGAACTAATTGAAATCAAACATACAATAATTGTGATGAAAAGATGAGGTAAACAGCAGAGAATTTGGTTCAGCAGTTTCTGTACTTAGTTTGTACTCTGTGTAATTAGTTTGTACTAACCACCAGTCCAACAAATATATAAGTACAAATTGTTAAGTTTTTAAATATATTATACAGGTTCCTGTATATATTTGTTATAGAAAATATATATTCACCTTAGTAGCTTCTCAATAAGATGTTTCCCCAAAAATCCTGTTCCTCCAGTAATGAGTAAGATGCGGTTTGCGTAAAACTGTTGTATGTCGGAGTCACCTTTTGATATAGCTTCCTTCATTGCCTTCTGTTTTAGCAGAGCTGCTTGTTCTATTGCAACTGCTGGGTCCATGGTCCTAAAAACATTTTATTTCGTGTAACTGGAATAGCAAACTGACTGTCTACCTGATGAAAAGTGGCAGCCATCTCCTAAATGCATGAACAGCACCACGGCAATTGTGTTTTGATGTGTCGAACGTGGTTCGTGTTACCATTCCTGAAGACTAAGATTCATGCCTACTATCCTTTAATTTCACTATCATCCATTAATTCATATTTAATAGCGACGCTCTTGCCGGTGGAGCTCTTGCCACTTTGTCTTCCTCTCCCTCTCTTTCCTTCTATAATAACTTTTATAAATTTATCATACCGTATCAATCCACTAACATATCTTATATCAAAACAATCGTATAACATTATTATAATAATAATAAAAATAATATACTATTACTAGAAAAATATGACTTCTGATTTCTGATTTTCTTCCTCAAGAATAATACCTTCACATAAAGTAACCTCTCCACACTTGGCTAAGGCCCGCGCGGGTGAATATTACATTAAGAATAGAAACATAATAATAAACCTGAAAAATTAACACACGACACAGCGCCATCTTGGCTTAAGATTAGCAGAGCTTGTGTTATGGTTACTAATCAACAGATATAAATGCTCTATACAAATAAGCATATAATGTTTGTACCGTACGAGGAATCGATCCCGCGGCCATCGGAATTAAAGCGGTGTGCTAAACCGCTAATCCACAAGGTGGTCGGTAATTGTATAGGAATAGTTTAGATCACCAATGGTTGTATACTATTAATTAGTTGGATAAACAAAAGGTAGGAATGCTATTCTGGACTCTGGAAATATAAAGACAGGAATAACCGACATCTTAAAAATTGTAAATTATAATTATAAAATTAATCAAATATTATTATATGTAATAAAACTTATATCAATGATACTTACTCGTCAGGAATGGCAACAATACCACCACGAACATGACATCGTTAAGTAACACTTCTGATAGTACGCTATCATGCTATCCGTAGTGTTCCTGATAACTAAAGAGTCAAGCCACCGTATAATCAAATTTCACTTGACTTCCTATGTTATACGTGAAAATAATTATATTCCAAAACTATGTATAATTAATGGCAAATAATACAAACCATCAGCAATTTAAATCCACTCGTGTACGTGACTGTTAAATTAATGATCAAGGTCATTCGAGAACTATTTTAGGTATTGTAATGTATATTATTGGGTAATAATAAACGTTTGCCATGATTCGACTAATATTTTGTATAATGCACATATATATTTAATCCCGAACGTAATGTCACATTTCGAAGCGTGTCACGTAAACATGGTACTCACATTCTTAGCAGTCGGTAAACAAAAAGGCTGCGCGCGCGCAACTTAAGCACTGATCGCCATCCTTTGCGATTATACGACCCATTATATAGTGTATTCTTGAACGCGGACCAAAGCGGACATCTCTTTAGGAATTAATAAATAGTTCAGTGGTTTTCTAACTAGGAAAAGAAAAATTGGTAAGTATTTTTTTTAATGCTTTTTATGCATGTTCGATCATGGGGTAGATTGCTATTACCGAGCGTCAAATTACTATAAGACATGTTTTATATGTTTTTTAAGTTTCATAATAAGTCAGGCATTTGCGCGTTTTTTTTTTATTTACAGGAATACCCGTGACAATTCTGAAGTTTCGAAATAGGTTTGTTTTTCAAACTAGCCGTAGAATTTTATAAATTACCTATTTTTACCCAGGAAAACAAATAATAATGTTACATTTTATTAATAAACAATAAATTTCTCATTTACCCATATCTATAGGTATATAAGAAAATGTACTATTGTTTGATTTCAAATACATTAAAATGTATCCAAATACTGCTGCGAATTTATTTTATTACGTGAATATAAGTAATGAAGTAGTGAAAAGTATTTTAAATAATAATTAAAGAATTAATAGTTATTTCGTACCTATATAGAATTTGAAGTTTCGTCTTCTTAAAAAATAAAATAAGTATGACAAAAAATATTACAATAACAGTTGAAAAACTACCGGAAGTGGTAATTTATTAGTCATAATGGTAGATCTGTCGAATGCAATAACAATTTTTTTATTTGTGTTTTTACTTGATTCTATAACTAATCAAGGCTTATTTTCAACCACCTTTAAAAAAAATGTAATCAAGTTCACTGTATTTTTTATATGCGTTACCTTAGTTAGGATCGAGTGATTGTATTCTTTTTTAATTTTAATACTGGCACGTCTCGTGGGCCATTCTCCATATAAATTCTATAAAGGTCTGACCAATAATTTTTAAGTTATAGGTATAAGTATATATATATCGTTGAAATGAGTTTTTTCGAAGCCTGAAGCTCTGAACACGTGTATGAATATTATAATACTGGAGCAAAGGGATTGATAGTAATGTGAACTAATTACTCCATCGCCAGCAATGTACCAAGTCAGGTTGACCTCCTCGCGGTTCCTCCTGGAAATCATCGCGATAAATTCCTAGTGAATTTGTCACGGTGAACCAACTAACCTGATCTCCTACTCATCCTATCATCCTCCACTTAATTACTTAAAAAAAAAAACTAAACTACATTACTATATACACACTATATCTACGCAGTTTCACTGACATTATATATTACAGATTACACTTTCCATCAGGTGATTCGTCAGCTACTTTACCATTCCTTTTAAGTATATTGCGCAGCCTGTACTGCTGCGGAAAAACGGTGTTAATGCAAAATAGTTTTAAATAATTATGTTTCGCCTTTAAACTGCTTACGTACTTGTCATTCTACACTAAAACTGCGCTTATTTAGCTCGGATATATAATTTTACAATCAATAAATAATTAATTAAGGTAACTTTATACTTCTTACACTCATAATACCTACTTCAACTACTTTCTATTTATATGTTAGACATATATATATTTATTTATTAATAATAAAGTGTACTCTCACAAAATTATAGTAATGACTTAGAAGCAGATATATAGAAAGGGTAATAACTAAACTAATAAAACCAAAATCTAGTTATAGCCTGTAGAGAAATTACTCTATAAAACTGTAGGTACCTAGAATAAATATATATATTTATATATGAGCGATTTAGCTAACGACCTCTTACACAGGGGGGTAAATATATGAATATGTTAATTAAGTGATACATTTATAACTGCTATTTTGACTTACAAATCAACTGTTTCAATTCAAAATGGTTTAATGAAATTAATGAAATATTCATTACTTGACCTGCTTCATCAATTTCCATTTATTTTAAAATTATTTACATTTATACTATTATATGTAGATACGATTTTATGTAGATATTGAAATGATAACTTAATAAAGTAATTTCTGACATATTACAAATAGAAAATACTGGGACGGTTTTCATTCTGTTATCATAACAATCCAGCAGCGCCTCACGCAAGGCTTTCTTGTGCTTTACGTCTTATTGCGATCTTCTGTATATCGCTTCCAGTAGCTTCTCAACTTCTTTCTTCTTCTTCTATTCTTAGATAGAAAAAATATCAGAATGTTTTAGTTTTTATAGTATTTATTTTAATTTTATTATTTTTGATGGCTGTAGATTCTCCGTTCTATCTCTGTTGTATATCGATTCCTAGCTGTTTTTGTGAATATTATGCAATATGTTTGGTATTTTCAAATCCTCGATAAAATATAACTTTTAAAATATTTTATTTATTATCTCATATTATGATATTATTTGGTGAGTCGGTTATTTCTTTTTTATGTGGGTATAAAGTTTTTATTTAAGCAAACAAATTTTTTTTCCATCAGGTTCAGTGTTACCGACACTATACTTTTTAAAGAGATTTTATAATTTGATATATTTCAAACGAATAAATTATATAAAAAATTAAATGTTAGCTTAATTCCTGACATTTATTTACTTATATATACATATATATAAGTAAAATATCTGGTAGGTGTATTAGGTAAGGATTCTAATATTATATGTCTAATCTAATTCATTTATTTATTTGTAATCGTCCTCTACCATGATCTCGTATTTCGAAATAAAAAGATAGAAGATGATATTCGTAGTTGTAATATTCATTTATACAGATTAAATAGTCCTCTCCAAATAATGTCTTCCTATATATATTGCATAATTAATTCAACCTTATATATAAATATCCACGTGTAGACACTAAAAATGTTAATTTAAATACTAGATCCCACCTAATACTGATATATAATGACCTTTAATTGTGACAAAGGATTTTTAGTATAAGTATAATAGTGTCTTGCTTGGTGGTCTATCGGTTTAACACACCGCCTGACTTCCGATGGGTATGAGTTCGATTTCTCAAACAATTTATACATTTAGGTATATATATTCATAAGTACTATTTTTTGTATCGATCTGGGTGTTTTCTATTATGTATAAATTTACATAACAAAAATAAATTTAGTATTTCTATAATTGTTTAGTACCTACATTATTTAGTATATACTAAAACCTCTTATTGGTTTGATATTAGATAGTGCTATCTGAATTCCCCTGATTTATTATTATTGCTATTAAATATTGCTACTAAAGTACCTTATTAGGTCGACTTCCACGCGATCCCTGTTAAGACGATGTTAAGACGGATTAAATAACTTTAATACATTTTCATGCTTTTCTATATGTCTGTTGCCTCGTTGTTATCTTAAAATATACATCCGAGTATATGCTGCAATACAATGAAATAACTCCCCTAGTGACTCCAGAAAATTATTTTATTTTTTATATCCACAGGAGACGTGGTAAAACGAGTTCTAAGAACGTAGAGCTACAATCATAGTAGAGTTTTTATAGTCGGATCGTGAGAATACCCAACAAGTTTTAACTTGCAATACTTATGAAAAAATTAACTATTTACAAATAAATATGTATCCTAGACTTTATTTCTTTCTTACTATTCGTTCTGGGCTGGGAAATTATTATTCAAATAATGTAGCTACTAACATTTGGGGATTTATCAGGTATGTAACGAAATGCCATTTTATTCATTGTATTGTTTTATGTTTTCTCATTTAAAGCAGTTTAAAATTTATAATAAACTAGCATATTAATTTGGAAATTGCAGACATAAACTGTGTTTGCAACTGTATCAGCAGTGGCCTTTTTATTATCGTAATGTCACTGCTATATTTCATTATTCAAATTAAAGCAGTTTACAAAATCACGTTAGTGCCGTACTAATAGGAAATACAAATACTTTATATGTATTCTATTTTGATGGAACGCATGTGAATTAACTTAATACCGTACATGTATATATAATTGGTAAAGTTGTTTGTTGTTATTTTCTTATGATTAAGTACTACATAATTACTCTAATAATCTGGTTCTTGTTACCTGTATTAGTACAAACCAGACAATAATCGTAAGACAGAAGCCACTTATTTATCAGAGATACGCATTCTTTTTAATGACTTGGTTATTCCATAATCAAAGCATAAAAGAGTCTAAATAAATAACACATAGAACTTTTTAGTTCTTTTCTAGGACTACTGTAATGCAAATTATAAGTGGCATTTACAGCTTTACCGGAAGCAGAGAGCTCTCTAAACTAAATGACTTATAGAGCGGCTGATGATCAACTCTTATCGGATTTATTATATGGCACCGCTAGGTATTAATATCTGGGCTGAGATCTCGAGTGATTAAGGGGAAAATAAAGGAAAAATCAGATCCTCAAAAGAATACATAAAAATAGATTACATAAATACATAGATTAAATAAATAGGTACATTACATAAATACTTGAAATAGGCAGCAATTTGGCATAATATGCTTTACAGTGTCCTAAATATTGTCTGACAGAGATTGCATGAATTTCTACTTTTGTATAAGTTTTATATGCAATTTAAAATTAATACTAAACTGTACTGATTATTCCAGCCGTAGAATTGTGCTATATATAATTATAATCGTATTTGTCATACGTATGAAAAACTATGGAACACTATAATTTTGCAATGAGCAATTTGTTTCAAGGTGAATTCGTCCGTGATAATATTGGAAATTTATCTGTTTTCATACTTGTAGTCACTTAATACAAATAAGGACAGAGCTATCATAATGATTTCCTCGTTACAATTTCCATGACGTTCTTGAACTCGTAAGGCATTTGTTTCATTACCGGCAAGAAGCGAGTTATGTAAACGTTTAACATTTCCAATCTATATTTAAACCACTCACACATGTCTGAATAACGTTTGTCAATTGAAAGTTTAGACAATCTCTCGGGTAATAGTTAAGACCATTAATAAACTTAATTGTTTCGCATATCTGACCCGGTGGTAAAACACAATAGAGTTGTCATAAGGCCAGTGATTTTAAGCTAGTCATATTTGATTTTAATATTATTGATATATCTAATTCCTCTCAAATATCTCTACTGGGACGAAGATCATGAGTGATATTTGTTTTGAATATAGCAAACTAATTTCATTTCGTGGATTGTCAACTTGTTTCCGATTCAAA